TAAAAGTTGATAGTCTGTGTAATTAGAATGCCTTCTACAAAGACTGTTGTTCTTACTGTGTACTGTTGAGATGGAATCAACCCATAGCTGACCCTCCAGTGGGTTTTCAGAGGTAGAAGTAAATCACATGGGAGATTGTCCATTCTTCTCTCAGGAGCAGCTTGTTGATTCAAAGCACGTTCCTTTGGGATTGCAGTGCAATTTCTTACCACTAGGCCACCAAAGCTCTCTTCTATAAAGAGTAGTACCTGGTTAGTTACTAAAAGGCTGAAGTCAAAATTGTCCTAAATGTCCAATCTGCTGTACCACTCCATTATTTCTGCCTTTAACTTTAACCCCAGTCCACTTTCGTTCTGTGTCTTTGGGTTCTGTAATTCACGGGAAGGTTTCACAAGCTCAAAGAACCACTGAAGGAAAGAAAACGGATCTCACATAGCTTATGACAATGTAGGCTGATGAATGTGGTTGAAGATGCTGGTGGACAGTGAACCATGTTCAGAGCTGAGGCAGTTGGATCAGGTTAGCCACCCTGTCCCAGAAGAGTGGAGAGAGAGAGAGAGCAAGCAAGAGCTGACCAGAATGAAAGTCGCAGATCAAGTCTTCCTTGTAGGGTGGAGCTTTAGGATGCATCCATTCAATCTGTATGTTCCCATCTACCTATGTGACAGAATTAAAAGCAATGACCTAGGAAAGTCAATTTTAACAACAGACGTCCAACACCGCATCTGTCATCACCTTGTCTGTAAATCTTGGTTCCTCAAGGTTTAACCTTTCCGTGTTTAGTTTATTTCATCTCGTGTTCCCTCTTCCTGGGTGAAGAGCAGGGTCTCCTTTGCAGGACTGGAGGGATCTGGGCTCCAGCCTGCCTCCCTGTTTCTTGCTTGTTGCTCTTATTGCCTCAGGAAGCAAGTGACTGATCCAAAGCATTCGGGGTTCTTCTGCCTCCTCTCAAATGACACTCATCTCTGGGAGTTTATTCTCTAGCTTGTTAGTAGGATCAAAAGAGTATCTATCCAGGAAAGTTCTGTGCATGAGGGCCAAGGAGAGGAGGAGCCAGGAATCTCACTTCAAGGAGCCTGCTCTGGTCCAGAATGGGACGATGGGTCCCACCTATTTTCCAGACCTCACAGCCTCCAGCTCTCTCCCTCAGCCGTCAGCCTTTCCCTTGGAGCCTCAGTTACCCCTTCTGTCTTGCAGGCTGCCTTACTGCCCTCCCCGGTGCTGACTCTAAAATCAAGGGTCCCAAAAGGATCCTTTTCCGCAAGCATCTGCTCTCCTGTCCTCTCAGCTCACACAGAGGAGGTTTCTTTGACTCAGAGGAGGATCGTTGAGTCCTCAGCATCCCCAGCCTTAGACTCAACCGAACTGGGGCAGCCACGCTGGTGCAGATCTTCCTGAGGGGTCTTTCAGCCGCAAGGTTCATCCTGAGGGACGTTCCAGCTTGGAGGTCTTCTTGGACCAACTCTCCTTTGCAGTGTCTCAGGATAATTTTTCCTCACTCAGCAGAGCGCAGGGGTGGGAATGGAATCACTAGCAATTCCTCTTCCCACTCCCTACGCCATCCTTATGGGAGCTCTGGTGGCCTAGTTGTAAGAAGTGGCTCTGCGGCGAGCTCTGATGACCTAGTGACAAGGAGCTGCTGCACTGCAATCCCAGAGGTGTGCAGTTCAAATCCACCAGATGCTTTGCTGAAGAAGGAGGAACAATCTCCTCCTGGACCAGTCAGATCCGATTTGACGGTACACACATAAAATAATACGAATACGAATACTAATACTACTAACAATAATAATAAAATACTTTAAAAAGAAAAAAAAGAAGTGGCTCTGCAAACCCAGAGTTACACGGTTCCAATCTGCCTGCAGGAGACGGATGGGCAATCTCTCCTGCGAGAGATTCTCTGTCTCCGCACACAGTAACAACATCCTTGCACAAGGACTCCGCAAGAAGCCCCCAGTCAAGAAATCCCTCCCTGTCCCACGTTGAAGTCCCCATTTGTCTTTGACGTATTACAGTGGCAGCTACTTCTGCATCGCAAAATGGAGCATCAGCAGCCAAGGGTCAGGATGGCTGTCGTCTCTCACGCTTGATGCTTGTCCCAGGATCCTTCAAGGCATAATACAACGCCAAGCATGCAACTGGAGGGTTCTTCTCATCCATTAGCCCCTTTGGATCGGCGGAGACCCCCTTGAGATGTTCTTGTGCACCTCACATTGCCCTAGCCGACCACATGAGGGCGTGCCCTGTGTTAGTTGGGACAAACTAAAGCTCGTCCTGAGAGCAGACCAGGGGTCCCCTGGGCCCAGGCGGAGCTCCGACGTCCACGGCGTACTTTTGGCTTTGCGCAGCTAAGACCCAAACCGTGGGCCCTCGCCCCAGGACCACGATATTCGCTCTCAAACGGGGCGCCCCCCTCCTCTCGCGCTCCTCCAGCCTGGGGTGCGCCTCTTAATTCCCCTCTGCTGCGCCCTCTCTGGGCGCAAACCGCTTCTCCGCAGCGCAGTGGCCTCGGGCCCTGTCCAAGGAACACGGCTGCTGGCGCAGAGACGCCGGCCAAACACGGTCCGGCGAGCCAGCGGCCAGGAAAAGGGCCCCAAAAAGCACAAGTTGGCGCTGGCTTCTTACCAGGCTGTTGTTGTTCTCAACGTGGTCCGCCGCGAAACCATAAAAGCGGAGCGGGGCGCACTTTCGGCTTAGAGCGCAGTGCGCACGCCCAGTGAGCCCGGCTGGCGGCAAGCGGCGAAGGCGACGCAGCTCAGTCTGTACGATCCCAACTCTCCAGCGCCATCCTAAGACCTCCGCTTCCGCCCAGGCCCCCGGCCCTCGGCCCTGCCCTGGGTCCCGGGCCCCCTC